TCACCATAAATTTTGCATAAAGTAGATGTACATTTTCCATTTAACGATCGTTCTTTAAAAGTAACCCAGTTGCTCAGTCAGATATTTAGTCAAAATTTTAAGTGCCCGTGCGTAAGAACCACGCGTAACTCAAGGCTGAATTTAAAATATTTAAGTTGTACTTGGACAGGGAACATCCGCCATAAATTTTCAGCCTTCCATCTTTTTTAGTTGCTGAGTTAGTAATTTTCCTGCAAAAACTTTCATACGCCCTTACGTGAGTGCCACGCATACCTGGGGGCCGAGTTTAAAAACTTTAGCTAGTACATGCACAGGGAATATCCATACAAAGTTTCAGCCCCTTAGCTCGTGTGGTTGCCGAGATCGCTTTCCCGCCAAAAAATTTGCATATTTTTTTAAAGCGTCCGTACGAGCCACCTAGGCGCCCGCTGGGGATGAAATTAAAATGGGAGGATCGCGCATGTTATGGGCACATAGCCCCAAAGTTTTAGCCTTCTAGCTTTTCTGGGTCTCGAGTTGAAAGTGGATGACAAAAAGTGCGAACACACAGACACAAAGACACAGAGACACACACACACACACAAACAACCTGTTCCCAACATGCGTTTTTGCAATTTATATGCGAAAACGCATAAAAACGAGTGCATTTTTCAAATCTCATAGTCCTTTTCTGACCTTCTATAAATTTGCATTTTTCAGCATGAGCATTCATCCGAAGAACGGCCGGGCTTCATGCAAAACCCAGGCTGGAACGCACCGGGCGGGCCCGTGCGATCATGCGTTTTTGCACCAGACTTGAAGTACTCAGGTCACTGATTGCATGAATGGCTTTGTTTTACATCTACCTCTTGGGGCCACTAGCATAAATCACCATAAATTTTGCAAACTATATGCACAATTTCCACTTAACAGTCGTTCTTTAAAAGTAATCTAATTGTTCAACAAGAAATTTTTTCGTCAAGACTTTTATGTGACCGTACGTAAGAACCACGCATGCCTCAAGCTGAATCTGAAATACTTAAACTGTATTTGGACAGTTGGAACATTCTCCCAAAATTTCAGCTTTCCAGTTTCTCGGATCACCGAGTTAGCGATTTTCCCGCCAAAGCCTTCACGTACCCGTACGTGGGTACTCCACGTCTCTGGAAAGCTGAATTTTAAATTTTTGAATTGCGCTCGGACTGGGAATATCCCCTTAAAATTTTAGCCTTCCAGCTCTTCTGGTTGCCGAATAATTTTCCTGCAGAAACTTCTATACGTCTTTACGTGAATACATGGTTTGGGGCTGAATTTAAAACATTTGAGTTGTATAGGGGACATTCCCCCAACATTTCAGCATTCTAGCTTTCCTGGTACCCGAGTTAGCAATTTCTCCTCAAAACCACGCACACCTGGAGGCTGAATTTGAAATCTTTATCTAGTACGTGCCCAGAGAATATCCCCACAAAGTTTCGGCCCCTTAGCTCATATAGTTCCCGAGATCGCTTTCCCGCCAAAAAATTTTCATATTTCTTTAAGGCTTCCGTACACGGCACCAGGCGCCCCAGGAGGATGAAATTAAAACGGGAGGGTCGCGCATGGCATGGGCACATATTTCAAAAGTTTCAGCCCTCTAACTTTTCTGGGTCTCGAGTTGAAAGTGGGTGACAAAAAGCGCGAACACGCAGACACACACGCACACACACACACACACAGACACAGACACACACACAGACAGCCTCTTCCTAATGTGTGTTTTTGCAATTTACATATATGCAAAAACGCACAAAAACTGATAATCAAGCACGCAGGAGATCTATGTGGCCTAGAATGCAACACTTTCATCCCAGCCGACACTTCCTTCCTTCCCCTTCCCCTTCGCATGCAGGAGAAGGCATATGACAACTAGTATTAGTCTAATTGTTAAAGTACAGCGCAAGAAACATTCCTGCTGTTAGCGATTTGCAAGTTTAGCGCAAAGGCGCATGATCTCTCTGACAAGCCTGGTACTTTGCAGCTTGGGTTTTTTGTTTTGTTATTGCTGGAAGATGCAAAAGAGCTTAAACGGATTCTATTGCCGAGGCAGGAAAATATCAATTAAAATTTAAAATTCCTTAAGTTCTTCAGATTTTCGTGAAATGTCAGATTTTGGCAAGAGATCAGTTGCGTTATTACGATGCTCCATTCTGTAAGTTTTTTTCTTCAAAAAATTGGAATTATGAAATGTTGTCTACTAACGGAAGCTTCAAATTTTTTTTATTTTTGGGGTAATTTACTTAGCAGAGTGTTGTGTCCTTTGTGACACAAGTTGACTTTGGGTCTATTAGAAAAAAGGAAATACAAAACGTTCACAACAAATTAACGAGCTCTAGGGTTTTGAGTTCTTCAGTTGGTACTGACAGGGTACGCATGGTCAGCACGGCCCTGTCGCTTTCTTTGCATTTCGGTCCACCGTCGAGCTTGATACCCGGCAGACCCAGGCCGTGCTGACCATGCGTACCCGGTCAGTCCCAACTGAAGAACTCAGGACCCCAGAGCTCGTTAAATTGGGTATCAAGCTCGACCATATCAGTCTACACTGCACCAGCCTACGCCGCTTCGGGGATCCACAATACACTGCCTTCAACTCACTATATCGATCCACATTCCGGATCCTGGTTGTGCAGGCCTTGATCCACGGATTGTTCTTGAAGGATGAAGTTGCATTTTGTTAGGAATGTCTGAGCAGGCAACAATGCATGTACAGGGGCTTGCTTCTGCCTCATAAAGGTAGGTAATTAAAGACCCGAGTGGCTGCATTTCTGTCAAAAGCTTCGTACTGACAACGCGGGTAATTAAAGTGGCGCTACCAAACATGGCTGACCATTTGTTTTTGTCAAGAAATATTTGTTCTTTTAATTTCAGGTCTTGCATTTTAATTGATCTGGTTGCTGGATTAGCCTATAATTCATTCAATGGCAATGTTGCTGGCGACGGGGTAAATTAGCTTACACGTTCTTTCAAAACGCCAAATTCATGACAACAAAAGCCTGACTGATCAGTTAGGCATATCAAGGCAAATATATACAAGAAAAATGCCAGTTCTTTTAAAGTGACACACTCCTGATGATGGTGCCCCGCAACTGAAAAAACTCACGTTA